AAAAAAAATCAGGTAAATCACAATTCATCACGTCAGCTCTATCACAAATTCCTATCAAATTGCCCTATTTGAGTAGCTTAATTCGTAAAAATGTGCATTTATAGCTGATATGTGTCGGAGTGGACATTGGATTATCAGTACAACGGTACCCTTATTACATGTTTGGTAGAGGGTATTAGATAGCATTGAACAATATTAAGAAAGAAAATGAAGCTAATTTTTTTTATATTATAGTGTCTAATCATATCTAATACTGCATTACCAAGCATGCATTTAGTCCATGGTCGACCCTTTATATATATATATCAAGCGAACGAAACTTATTTGTGTTGTATTGAGCAAATGCTGTATTTTGGATATTTGATTGGTGTATGTATAATACTATAATAATCCAACCAGGCCCCTCCATCTAGTTCCATTATTGAGTAGCATAATTGATTGAATCCAGTGACCAAGACATTACTTGCTACCTAAGTCCAACGGTGTGATGTTCGATAATATATTATTCATAATCAATCAAATTAATAGTAATAAACGAAATATCTTAAACAATCTCATCTAAAATTTTAAACTAACTATAAACTTGTTGTAAAAACTTGAATGAAACAATATATTTATTTGTTTATATCATATCGTAACGGGACCCCATCCCATACTCACCAAAGAGCCGGTAATAAAAGAAAAGAATATACTACTCGTACATAATGCGGTGTCCATACCGTCGGGGAGTAAAAGGAATTTCAAATTAGAAGAATGTGGAACAAACCTGAGCCCCAAACATGGAGACACAGATCAAACCCATCCATGAATGCAAACTATAGAAATTAGCCACAACTCCGTCTTGTCCTTGAAATTTGGTCCAAATTCCAAAAACCCCACAAGCCAGAGCAAGTCCTTGAAGACACAAATGCACTGATTTCTTCAAATTTCTTGAACCAGGTAACCATCTATGCACCAAAATTGCTGGGAAAAAAGTAAAAAAGAAATTTAAACACAAAGTTGTCAAAAAAAATCTCAAGGCATTAAACTTCACATAATATATTCATAACCTTCTCCACTAATAAGAATGAAACCAATCACCATTAACAAAGGATGCAGCACCTGCCCAACAAAAAAGTTTCAGAAATTTCACTCACTCAAATTCAAATGCATGCATCATATACAAGAACACGTCAAATTAAATGATATACAGAATAAATTAGGTCTTCTTGGGATTGTGTGTGAGGGAGAAAGCTGGTCTTGAAATGAAGAGCCCAAGTGATTACAAGAAATGCAACTGTAAAAGCCGAGAATCTGGCAAAGAGTAGTAGCAGATAAATTGGTGAAAATGAGATTATGGCCATGGATCTCTCTGTGAGTGAGGTTTAAGCTGAGTGGAAACTGAGAAACAGTGAGCGACCGACAAATAAAGAGAGAGATACCCAACGTTAACACTGTACTGTTACAACATTTTTAGTGGGGACAATTTGACTGCATAATTATTGAGAAAAAAAGTGTC